ACTCCTACCTGTGGCTGTCACAGAACAGAGTGAGGGAGACACTGGAGAGGTGGACACTGGACTTCTGCAGACCTTACAGAGACTGGCTGGGAGATGCACACATACACCAGCAAAAGTGCAGCCAGTGCAAGCAGGCTCACCAAGAGTTGTGGAGATCCCTACTAGCTCCACTACTCAAATGCAAACACACCTTCACATGTGAAAGTAAATCAGTACACACATGCTCCCACACATGCAAGAATGTACACCGGAGCACACCTGGACTGATACATGGAAATAGAGAACAGCACATTCACACTGACATAAAATAACCCCTCACACATAAAAAATATACAGGTATACACAGCCTCAAGAGGGCCTGCACAGACCAAACTAAGGAAACAAATGCACACTCACAATATTGAGGACACAAGCACTGAGCACACAGACACACACTCCTATGCACCATGGCATCTCTTTCACAGCATTACTGCCAATGTCTAAGGAGGGCCTAAAGGGCTGGGAGTGATCAGGTTACCAGGCTGCCCTAACAGGAATTATGGGTGCCTGGTAACTCTCTTCTAAGATCACACTCCTAGAAAACTACAAGAGAGGAGGCGAGGCTTAGATGCAGTTGCATAACTGGGGGAGGACACAGGCTGAGGATAAAAGGTTTAGCTCCAGGCTGCAGAGGGGTGGACAGCAGTCAGAACAGGAACATGGAGCTCAGCATCCTCTTGCTCCTCACTCTCCTCATGGGTCTCTTGTTTCTCCTGTTCAAGGGCCACCCAAAGGCCCGTGGCCACCTCCCACCAGGCCCCCATCCTCTGCCATTCCTGGGGAACCTTCTGCAGATGAACAGAAAAGGCCTGCTCAAATCCATCCTGCAGGTGAGACACAAATTGACAGGGCCCAAGGTGGGCTAGAAGAGCAAAGCCTCCTTTCTGGCTGAGGGTGGGTGGGGAAGATCAGTGTGTAAAGGATGTGATCCTGGCTTCTGGTGGATGCTGGTCAGATTGCCACAGCTGTCCACCTCTGATGGAACTGTGTGGGGCACTGTCTTTGGGAATGGGTGTGTGAAAGGGCAAACAGAATTGTCAGGATGTGAGCAGCAGGTGTAGATTTCACTCTCCTCTGCCCCATCCTGGATATCTGCCTAGAAGAGAGAGAAAAAGGGCAGAATCACCACTCCAAAAGACTTTGCCTCTGTCAGCAGGCAAAACAAAGATTGGTCTAAGCCAATTCAAGGACAAACAGGAGGAAAGGGGAGAAAACAAAGGCAGTAAGGAGTGCTTATCATGGAGAGGAGAGGAAAGGGAAGTAAACAGGGTCAAGATGTGATGTGTCATGAACCAGTTCCCCGTGAGGAACACATTTATCATGTATCAGAAGTATACTAATAAGGCCGAGTGTGGTGCTGTACATCTGTAATCCCAGCACTTGGAAAGCTGAGGCAGGAGGATCCCCTTGAGTTTGAAGCCAGTCTGAACTAAATAAGGAGTCCATGTCTCCAAAATGAAATACTAATAAAAATGGAGGAAAATCTTGATTTCTTCATTGATAGAATAAAAAATTCTAATAATAAATATTAATACAAAATTCTAATAGTAAATTCTAATAATAAATTTAATGAATAACCAATTCATTAATAAAATAGAAGCAGGCTCCTTCATTGCATGGTAAATATTCAGTATGAAATTTTTTTATTATAGTTGATCAATTTCAGAGGAGGTCTTATCAATCATAAACAGAATCCAGCAATTACTAAGATCTGTGCCACTGCTTTGCACACATGGTTTCAGGTTTCAGGATCTACTTTTATTGTGTGTTTATTTGCAGTAGTGGAGATGGAACCCTTGACCTCTGCCCTGAACTACATCCCTAACCCCTTTGCATTTGGAGATAACATAGCCTAGGCTAGCCTTGAATTTGTAATTCACTTCTCAGCCCAGAAAGTGGCCAGGATTGCAGGTCTCTGTTACCACACCAGACTAATCATCTACCTATCTATTAATAATTCATCAGCATTGACTGCAGTGGGAGAGCTGGAGCACTGACAGCAACACCCAACTCCTCGTCCTCTTCCTTCTGTGGAGACCACACTCTGGGAATCCTGGGCTTCTTAGCCCTTTGCTATCAACAGCTTCTTTTTCCTGATCAATAATCTATTTATTGATCATATTGTCTTTTTATTTTTAGTTTTCGGTGGCAGGGATGGTGCTGGGGACAGAATCCTGGGTGGTAGTGAACACAAGAGAAGAAATAGGAGTTTTAAAAAAAATTCATTAATATTTTTCTTATGTTTTAGATATACATTATGAGCACATTCATCATTGGGAATTTGTACCTGTACATGATATATCTTAAGATCATTTGATGGCCCTGAAAAGGTTGATATAAGAAGTGGGACTTAAACAAATCCTTAAAGACTGTGAGAGTGAGGATGAGTGGGGAGAAGAAACTGTTACTGATGCGCACTGGTGTAAAGATGAGGAAATAGGGCCAGGTGACTGGGAGAGCATGGCATGCAGAGCAGAGAGGAGGCAGGCACTGCACTGTGGTACCAACATGAGGAATTGGCTGAAGTGAGAGGGAGCAGTAGGCAATAAAGTGGTCCTCCTGGGTAGGCAAAATAAGGGCTCTTGGCAACTTACCCTGTTTTCTGTTGCTATGAGAAAATAACTGAGGCTGGGACAATATAAAGTAAAGAGGTTTATTTTGATCACAGTTTTAGAGGGTGACAGTTCAAGACCAGCAGTGCTAGTTGTTCAGCCTCTGGTGACAGCTTCCTTAGCTGTGTCACTCATGGTAGAAGAGGAGAAAGTGAACCTGCAACATGCAAAAGGGTGCAAGCATGTGAGTTGGCACTTCTTTCTCACAATCCACTTTTTCAAGAACTAGCTCTTTCTGAAAGACCAGCATTAACCCATTCTAAGGGTGCTGCCCACATGATCTAAACACCTTCCACTAGACGCCACCTTTCAATGGCTCTGCCTCCTCTCAACATGGCCACAGAGGGGACCAGGCCCCCAACATATAAACCTGTGCAGGACTCACTCAAATGATATCCAAACCACACACATGAAACAGGCAAGAAGAGAGAGGTAACTTGTCCAGATAGAAGACTGAATGCTAAGTTTGGAGATCTCCTGAAACAACCAGCATGGATCTCTCAGGCCCATCATGTGAGAAGCCTGGAGCTTGGCTCACATATAGGTTCTACTGCCCACTGCAGCTTGGTGACATCCAGCTCAACTCCAAGGTGCTTAACTCACCAGCTTGGGGTGTGCAGACCTGTGTCTCAAAATACTCTCTGGAGGCTTTAGTTTGTGGTTCAGGAAGCCTAGGCCTGCTCTCCTATGCAGCTGTGGTATCTGGAAGGTGACTGTGTGAACTTTAGTCCAAATGTGGGTTACCAAGATTAAGGGTGCAGCACCAGTCAAAAGTCAAGGGTCTGGAAGCTTGCTGTCTGCATTAGAAGACTGAAGACTGAAGAAGCTGGAGACTGATTTCCAAAGGCAATGGTAAAGGCTGGAGCTCTACTAAAATAAGGGCCCTTCTTCTTTCCTGTTTTAGTTGTCCAGGCTACAAGCTTACTGGTTGATGCTAACACATCTGGAGTGGGTCTTTCCTGCTCAGTTTGCTGGCCTACATGCCAGTCATCCACAGACACACCCAGAACTGTGCTTCCCTAATCTGCTAGGCATTTACTACTCAAGAAATTGATGGATGTACCATAGTTAAGGGTTGTAAGTAGGTCAAAATTCATTTGGTCAAGGGTAGAAGAACAAAGACAACCTACAACTCTTCACACTTGGATTTTATAATCAACTATCTACAATTTTATAAAAATGCTTTAAAATTTCTAGTCAAGCCTGAGATTGATGTTACAATGATGTGAGAGTTTTTTCAGTCTTAGGCATGGCTCTGGGTATTTTTCATATCAGAAGAAAATAAATAATTTTGGACCACGTGTAGTTTTTGACTAGTGTTGTGGAAGAGCTGAGCAGCTCTGTGCTATAGCCAAGTGTTGCAGCTCAGTGTCACAGCTAAGTGCCACATCTCAGAGGCACAGCTGAGCTTTGTAGTTCAGTGTGGCAGCTCTGGGCCTCAAATTCACAGAAATTCTCCTTCCTCGGGCTCCCAAGTACTGGATTACAGGTGGGCACCACCACAACCAGAACTGCCCATTCTTCCTTGCAGCAGATGTTTCAGTTTTCTTGCAGGAAAAGCTTGGGGCAAAGTGAGATCCTTTATGGATTGTGCTTTGGTTAATGTTCAGATCCCCTGCCTCATTGTTGAGGTTTTTTAGATGTCCAGGTAGGAATCATTTCCCCTGAGAAGTCGTTCTTGATCCTCAGACAAGATCAGGTCCCCACTATATGTTTTTTTTTGGAACAAGGTCTCGCTACGTAGCCCAAGATGGGCTTGAACTCCTGGCAAGGTCCAGGCACCTGTGACCTTGGACCTCTAGGTATAAAACAGAAAAAACTATGTTCTTTGTAAATTTCTCACTCTTGGGTATTCTGTGAGGTATTTGAACTTTATGTGAAAGAAGCAAATGTAAACCAAACTTGCTTTTGTGTCATTTCTTCCACTCAACATTATGTCTGTGAATTTCATCTAGATTATTGGTTAGAGCTCTAGTGGCCTCCTTTTAATTGTCATATAGTATACCATTGTGTAACTTTCAGTATTTATTCCACATGTTGATGATCATTTTACTAAGAAAGCTTATAAGAATATTCTGGTTGATTTTTTTTCTTGGTGAATGAGTACACATTTTTGTACAGCAAATATTTGGTGGTGAAGTTACTGACTATGTCTGTGTTCAGCTTCAATAAATACAGCTGGCATTGTGTACCTGTGAGTTCTACATCAGCTTGGGATTAAAAATACTTGAAAAACATTAAGCTTGTATTGAACATGTACAGACAATTTTCTAGCCATTAATTCCTAAACCACATAGTACAACAACTTCTCATATAGCTTTCCCATTTTATTAGATAAAAGTAATCTAAAGATGGTTTAAAGTATGCAAGAGAATAGGTTATACAGAAATACTATCAAGGATTTTTGTGTCCAGGGGAGCCCTGAGATCCACTCCTCACAGATGCCGAGGGGTGCCTGTCCTGTCTAGCCATTTGTCAAGGGGCTGTATTGATCAGAGTTTTCAAATTTCATGATCAGGGCTAGAGGGCTGTAACTTTCCCTTCCCTTCTAACAAGACGGTGAGGCAGAATTGTTCTCCCAGGAAATTATTTAGAATCACAATGCAGATGGAAGATAAGGCACAAGGATTCTTTCAGTTGACATACCAGGGAGATCTGCCCTGACTCAAGGGTACAGCTTAAGATGAGATTAGCAATATTCAACCAGCTGTACTGCTTAGGGCCCCAACCACTAGGAGCAGAGCCTGGCCAGGTCATCGGTTAACTCTTTAGTTGTTAGGGCCTGGCAAGGAAGCAAGGCAACTGAGGAGCAACCAAGGGTCCTGGGGGTGGAATTTAATTGCCTATTTAAGTGTTTTATTGGTTTAACAACTGGTGTGAATACTGACTAATAGCGACCCTGGCATGGGTATGCTTGGCAGCTCCGAGAGAAATACGGAGATGTCTTCACTGTGTACCTGGGACCAAGGCCCGTGGTCATGCTGTGTGGGACAGACACCATACAGGAGGCCCTGGTGGACCAAGCTGAGGCTTTCTCTGGCCGGGGAAGAATTGCTTCTGTGGATGCTGTCTTCCAGGGATATGGTGAGCATCTCAAAGGCACTGGGATGGGGCAGGATGGAGGGTGGGACATAGAGAAGTTGAATGTAAAAAAGGAAGAAAAAATGTAAGGAGAGATCCCACTTTCTTGTACTTCCCATGCATCCCTTGCTTCCCTACAACTATTAGGTGTGAGCATGGCCAATGGGGAACGCTGGAAGGCCCTTCGGAGATTCTCTGTGGCTACCATGAGAGACTTTGGGATGGGAAAGCGGAGTGTGGAGGAGCGGATTCAGGAGGAGGCTCAGTGTCTGGTGGAGGAGCTGCGGAAATCCCAGGGTGAGTCTTGAGGCATGGAGTGGGTAGAAAAGAAAGACAAACATACAGAAAGAGGGGTAGGGTGCACAGCAATAGAAACACAGAGAGGTACACATAGGCAGGGAAAGGTAGAAATAGAGACAGACAGAGTGATAAGGACAGAAAGAGATGGAATAGAAGTGAACAGAGACAAGCAGCAGAGCAACACAGACAGGGAAGGAACCGTGAGGTTTACAGTGTCCAAGAACAACTCAGAGAAAGAGGCTGAGTGACTGATGCTATTCATTTGTGTCCAGGGAAATCAATTCATGGGTTAATTGTATGCATCAAAAACAAAGAGAAGCCTTATGCAAAAGAAAGCAAAGGGAGGGCCCTGGATTTAGCTCAGTGGTTTTGCCACCTGCTGGGCAAGCGCAAAGACCTGAGTTCGATCCCTGGTACAAAAAAAAAAAAGCAAAGGGAAAAGAAGGAAGAGCAGATGTCAAAACAGTGAACTGTGTTTTCCTTCTCTCAGTGAAGTGCAGATGAGCAGGCAGTGAGGAACGAGGCCGGTGAGCACTCTGCTCTTGGGGAGCATTTTCAGTCCTTTTTGGATCCTCTGTGACAGGGATGTAGGGGTGACTGTGCTCCTTGTTAGCACCTCCTTGGTCAGCATCCTTTCATTCATGTCTGGTCTTCACCATGTCTGGAGAGTCTGAAGCTGGGGACAGAGAGCAATTGGAACAGAGAGACTGAGAAGAAAGCCAGAGGGAGGCAGAGTGAATGGAGACAGAGATGGGGAAAGAGGAAGAGATGGACATGGAGGGAGCAAAAGGAAGAAAAAGAGAAACAAGAGAATGGAAGAGACTCAGAGTGGCAGAAAATACAAGAAAAACTGAGACAGAAACTTGGAGCAACAGATGAACAAGTCTCTGGCAAAGGTCTGCAAAGCAATGACAGTAGACAGATGAGACAGACAGAGAGAGAGAGAGAGAGAGAGAGAGAGAGAGAGAGAGAGAGAGACCTATCCAATATTCTAAGGCTCAGAGCCTCCGTCCTTCTCACCCAAGCCCTGAAGGAGGGACAAGAGGTGAAGGGGAGTGACAGATAGGAATGAAGTGATGAAGTGATCAGGGCTTTCAAATTTGCACATGCTATTGATTGGATACTGCTGCACCCCCTCAGCCATGAGATTTAACTTTATGCCCTTACAGAGTGGAAGTTGGGGCCCGGGGTGAGATTCAAGGTAGGGACCTACTGCCCTGGCTCTGTGTCTGGGCTGCCTGGTCTGAATCCTGACCCCAGTAATGAGTAGCTGTGTCACCTTGGTCAAATAATTTAACCATTAATCATTCATCCATCTGTAAAGTGGGGATAATAATAGAACGATGTTTTCCTTACAATGTTGTGGAGGAAACTAATTTAAAATAACACATGAATTGCAGAGAATACAGCCTGGCGCATAGTACAGGCCACTGAGTGTCAGCATTTATTGCTATTCTTATGTTTTATTACTGAGCCATGGCAGTCACTTAGACAGAGCCGCAGCCAAATGCTCCCCAGGATCTTGAGTCTGTGTCCTGTGAACTGCTGTCTTCCCCCCCCCAACCACCAGGAGGCCTTGTGGACCCATTGTTCTTCTTCCAGTCCATGTCTGCCAACATCATCTGCTCCATTCTCTTTGGCAAACGCTTTGACTACAAAGATTGGCAGTTCTTGAGGATGTTGGATCTGATCTATAAGACCTTTGCACTTGTCAGCTCCTTTTCCAGCCAGGTCAGAAGAGGGAAAAGGAAGGTGGATTGAAGGGAGCAGCCAGGGGATGGGGGATGATGGCCTGCTTTGCGGAGCCCAGAAATGCACTTCAGGCTGGAAGAGGGGTGGAGACACCACAGAGGGTCAAGGACACTGAGAACTGATGTGAGGGACAGATAGTGAACAGGGATCAAGAACCTGAGAAAAAGAAAAGGGAGTGAATGAAGTGCAGAAATAAAGTGGGAGAGAGAAAAAAATGAAGTCTTGGAGATGAGAGAAGGGAGGAAAAGAGAGAAGACAGAGAAAAGAAAATAAAAGATAGAGATGGATTCTGGCAGCCAAAAGGTTGTGTGTTTGTGTGTGTGTGTGTGTGTGTGTGTGTGTGCATGTGTGTGTAGCCTGTATGGAACAGCAGTAGAGAGGTAGGCTCAGAGGATAGAGAGAAGGAGGAGTAGTGATTTCCCATGCAGGTCTGGGGCTCAGGACAGCTTCCCAGTCCTCTGATCTGCTAACTCAGCTCCAGGGGGGCCTCACTGACCCTTCTTTCTTGTAGGTGTTTGAGCTCTACTCCAGCATCCTGAAACACTTTCCTGGCACACACAGGGAAATTTACAAGAATTTGCAGGAAATCAATGCCTTCATTGGCCACAGTGTGGAGAAACACCGTGAAACCCTGGACCCCAGCGCCCCCAGAGACTTCATTGATGCCTACCTGCTCCGCATGGAGAAAGTGAGATCTGGGAGAGGGGAAGGGACAGGAGGGGAGGAGGGAGAG